TCTATTAGACTGTATTAATCATGCAGTAATAATCGGGACACGTTTATAAAGATCGAATATCTTGCATAGTTAGGACAGAGAGCTGCCTATTATCGCGTAGTGGTATCTATTCGATTCGTGAACTCAAGGTGCATTGAACTTCGATGATTTATTGGAAGCAATAAATCGCGTGTTTGCAGTTTCGAACAGAGGCATTGATATGCCGGTGAGTTTTAAAAAGTCACCGGAAGTTCGTCACTTGCATCAGAGGCTTGCTATCATTAATCACGAAGAACGAGCAGTGTCGATCTTATCTCGCGGTACAACTTTTGTAAGAAAGTTTGCAGTTACTACTCAACACTGCAGCAGTTACTACTAAATTGCATTCATTTCGCTAGTTATTGGGAGTGACATCAAACGCCAAGCCATAATGTGATTTAACACGCGATCGTGATCCGTTCGTGTCATTAATAAAAAAAGTTTCAGCTTTAAGCTTTGCAAGAGACAATATGAACTTCGGTAATGAACGCATGTTCCATAACCATTCGTTTGAATATTCAACTTTTCCATTTCGTAAGAAAGTTATTGCTTCCTCCATATTTATAGGCATCACAGAAACGATCTTTTATAACTGTAAAATGGATCATTTCTATTTATTCTCAACGATATTAAAGGGCACTATTATTATCAAAATTCTGTGGCATATTTGTTAAAATTTTAAGGTATTGGTAACTGGACAAGTAGATACAGTCTATAATAAGGCAGGCATTTTACATCGATAAAGAATCTGTTTCTGTGATATTTGCAAATTCACTTGATAAATATACATGAAATCTGTTAAGCATTAATATGACAATAATATCAAAATGTTCTTAACAAAAATAGGAATAATATCAGGGAGATTCAATTTAAGTTGGATATCAGTGAAATCTTCTTTTCTTTTTTCGGGATCTATTCCGTGGGTTGTTGAAGGGAGCCGTATTTTCCCGGGAGCCGCGATAATTGCGCCGATAGGTCTGAGAATGTAGCTCAATTGAAACTTTTCGATAGAAATCTGTAAGCTATCCAGAGGGTTTCGTGCCGAGTGGTAGTTATTATCGTACTTGGCGCGCGGTGGAAAGCTCTCTTGGGTGCTAATCACTCGCGTGGACTGTTTCAAACAAATTGTGGTGTAACATTCCCGTACGCGGAGTTGTTCACAATTATGCGGGATATGCGGCTCTCGGGCAAGCGGAAATAATGCGGATACCTGGCGGAAGTAATGTAACCGAAGGAGCGTGAATTATTTACTTCTGCTCATTTGAAAATTAAAGTCATCGTAGACACTGTGCACTCGGTGTCGAAGTTCAAAAAAAAAAAAAAAAAAAAAAAAAA